CAAATACTATTGTGTTGAAACGTTTGCAGTGAAAGAACATGGTCCCCAAAAGTTATTAATGGCTCCTAAGACAGAGAAGTCTCAAGAATGAGGTGGTAGTTGAATAGTCTTGAAATAGGAGTAGGGGCTCGGCGCCTATAGCTCAACTGGCTAAGGCGCCAGCCATGTACACCTAAGGTGGCGGGTTCGAATCCCCAGCCCGGACCCGCCAAACAACAATGACGGCTGCAACCAAAAAATAGCCGGGCGCTGTGGCGGGCGCCTGTGGTCCCAGCTACTTGGGAGGTGGAGGCAGGAGACTCGCTTAAGCCCAGGAGTTGGAGGTTGCTGTGAGCTGTAATGCCACGGCACTCTACCCAGGGGGACAGCTTGAGGCTCTGTCTCAAAAAAAAAAAAAAAAAAGAAATAGGAGTAGGTATTTACCTGGCAGATTGATTAAAAAAGAGAGAGAGAAGAGGGTGCAAGTCTAGATGGAGACAACTTGTACAAAATCACACTGGTATGAAACTGCATGGTATGCATATGTTCCAGCAATTGAAATCAGACAGAGAGCAGCAGAAGGCAGGTTAGAGAGGCCAACTCAAGAGGGGACTTGTATGCAAAATAAAGAACTGTGCTTTTTGAAAAGATGACAGGAAATGGAAATTTTGAATGGACTCTTACTTAGCACGATAAAAGAACATTTGAAAATTAGTGTCTATGTAAAGAAGTGAAATTTGTTGCAATTGTTTATTTTAGAGACTAGAGCCTACAAGAAAGGAACTTTGACTCTGTGGGAGGTTGTTATGCCAAGGATAGTGACCAGTTATTTTCACTTCCCACTGAGGACAAAGCAAGAAGAAATAGGCTTAAATCTCAGCAGAAGGGAAAATTGCCTACAGAAGGGGGTCCTTCACAGAAAGATTGAGTGTGACTGACGTAGGTCATTAAAATGTTGTCTCAGGCTGTCTGGCTGTTTGCTGGTTTCTGTGTACTCAAACAGCCCGATTTCAAAGACATGCCAGGACTGAAGATTTTGAGGCTTAAATGAGGGTATTTGGAATAAAGAAATTTCATGTGTCAATTAGTTATTCAGATACTTTGTTGTCTGCCTACCTAAAGTGTTTAAAATGTATTTGATCATGTAAAATATAGATATTATCTTTTATTATATAGCAATTGTATTTATTGGAAAAAAGAGAAATGATCAGAATTTGCTTTAGAAATAGATGTCCCATTAAAAGTATTTGGTATTCATGTACCATTTCAGAAAGTTATTAAAGATGAGGTAGATAGAATTAATTTAAATTCAGTTATTAATCTTTATGTGTAACATTTATTAGTCAGATGATTGCAGTTAAAATTGCTATATGGTTTATTAACTGATGGAACTTTATCATCTAATACTGTCTTGTAAGACTCTGTCTTATTTTCTTTATCATTCACTGATAATTCAGCTTATTAAAATAATATAAAACTTCTTTTAGCATTTTCAAATATTTTCAACTTCTAGAACTGTTGTTTATGATTTTATTATTTGAAGATGTATATAAGACAAAGGATTGTAGAGTGGCTATTTTGCTCATCCTTTTACATCTTATGGAAGAAGTCATTTACACGCATTTCTCTCATTCCCCTGCCTCATCGTAGCTGGTGAGAGGACAATTAAGAAAGCACAGAGATACAAAAGGGCACATTGCTTCTGGCTAGATTAAATCTTGGAATGTTTATGGTATAGCCACCACGGGAGATTTACCTATCTGAACAACTATTATTTGGATATTTTATGTTAATATAAAATTTTAACGTGATTTCAAGTTAACTAGCTATCAAATGGAAATCAATTTTATTTCTTAATGAACTAACCCAAGCACATTGGAAGTGATTTTCCACGTACTTAGACTACATTACTCTTGCTCTACCCCCAAGAGATGTATATATCCAGCTAGTACACTTAGAAGAGCAAATTATTGGATGTCTTTAACCAGTAGAATTGATGAAAGGGAATGCTCTTAGTTGCCTTCTGTGCTGGTGTTGAACAACACCATGGGGCCTGAGAGCTACAAGGGCTAATGGGTAAATGGTGTAGGCTAAGTAAGAGAGAATGAAGACATAATAATACAAAGTAAATAAGTTACAAAGTAAAAGTTTTTTATTATATTTTAATATTACAAATTCATCAAAATGTCTAATGGTCATTCACATAGAGAAAGATTAAATAAGGCCACTCATTTGCCATAATTTCCTACCAATTTGAAACATTAAATAGACTCTGTGAGTGAGATTGTTTTAAAAAGTAAATATTGAGGGGTGGCGCCTGTGGCTCAAAGGAGTAGGGCTCTGGCCCCATATGCTTGAGGTGGCGGGTTAAAACCCAGCCCTGGCCAAAAACTGCAAAATAAATAAATAAATAAATAAATATTGCAATGCATATTAAGCAATTTGTCTGCCAGACCAACGGAGATATTCCTCAACTTGAAAAGACAGACGGCTGTCCATGTTTACCCATGCTTTGAAGGGAATATTCTGATTTAAGAAAATGCATGCATACTCTATCTACAAGTCTTTCTGATTTCATCAAAGATGCTATATATTTATATAACTAAAATGTTATGCTTTGTTTATCTTTTAAAAATGTAACTATACTAAATTCTATAAGAGAAATTAAATCGTTAATGGATCTGATAATGAATATTTATTAATAAAACATTTTTAAAAATTAAACAGTTATAAGTATGTATGCTAAAAGCTAAAGTTTTTTAATGCAAAACAATATAATACACCCAAGGAAAGTAAAATGAATATCATGCTTCACATTGACAAGTGAGCACATGCTATTTTTCTATTTCTGTTTCCTTTCTAATGTTAGCCAAGTGCATTTTATTTTAAACTATGATATAATTGTGTAATTAGGTGTACTGAAAAACTAGGTGGGTTTTTGTTGTTGTTTTGTATTGTGTTCTTTGTTCTCTTTTTCTTTTTTTAATTTGCATTTTTGTCTCCATAGAGTTCCTAAAATATAGATCCATTTCCTTTCCTTTCCTTTAGGAAGATGTACCTACAGTTTTTCTCAAGCACTTCATGTTGGGAGAATTTTAGGATTGAGCAGTTTAGTTAATTTGTATGAGAAAAGAAAATGTTCATTTCCTTATTAGTTGGAATGTCCAGCATACTCTGAAAATGCCGCACTATGTGAAGATGTAACACAGTAATCCCAGTTAAAGACCCCTTTTTAGGCTAGGCGCCTATAGCTCAACCGGCTAAGGCGCCAGCCACATACACCTAAGGTGGCGGGTTCGAATCCCCAGCC